TAGTTTATAAGTTATTTTCTGTTATCTTTTTTATTAATTGTTTTTTTCTAACTTTATTATTACTCATATTGTAAACGAGTCTCAACATTGTTAAAAATTTAGATTACGAGCGAGACAGCTCCAACACAAGTATTATCAATTACTTACTGGGGATGCATCATTTATAAATAATAAATGTAGTGTTTTAAGCCAAATAAACAATTATTATTTTTTTACACTGAATTCTTTTTATGTAACTACTTTATTATATAAATATCACATAAAATAATTTTGGCCGCCTAAATCCTGAAAAACGATCTATGTGCAGCGGTACGCAGGAGAATAAACTTCGTACGCCTAAGAAAAAACGTCAGCCTCGACGTGTGACATCGAAGGACAACTTTGACGTTGACGCTATTCGTCGACATGTATACGACTATTATTTACGGAAAGAAATTCCGATCCTAAAAAAGCTTGTCACGTCATTGCGAGATAGTGAATTATTCCGTGGACAAAAGTCGTCGTTGGCTAAAGTGTTAAAAGACAGTGGCTTCTCTTATAAAAAAGCCGACAAACGAAAAATATTGATGGAACGTCACGACGTTGCTATGGCTCGCTGCAACTTTTTAAGTAACGCAAAAAGAATAGAAGATTGGTCAAATGTGATTTTCACTGATGAGACATGGTCGAATGCATACCACACAGTAACTAAAAACTGGACTGATGACACCGCTGCTTCTACTGGTTCTGTACCGATGGGAAAAGGAGAACGCCTCATCATTTGTTACGCAGGGTCTTCGAAGGGATTTGTGTCTGATGCGTTGTTAGCTTTTAAGTCACAAAAGACGGTGGAGTACCACGAGGAAATGAACGCGGAGGTTTATGAACAATGGTTTGAAGACATGCTACAATTGCTTGAAGAACCATCCATTATATTAATGGACAACGCATCTTACCACTCTCGTCAAGTTGACAAAATGCCGTCGCAGATCAACAAAAAGCAAGACATTATTGATTGGCTAAATCGACACGGAGAAAATGTTGATAACTCTATGCTGATATTACAGTTACTGAATATACTAAAGACAAAAAAGCGCTTTTCCAAGCGGTACGTGATCGATGAAATGGCATCCAAATATGGCCATAGAGTAATTAGAATTCCGCCTTATCATTGCCAATACAACGCCATCGAACTAATATGGGCACAAGTTAAAGGCTACGCCGCTCGACACAATACAAGTCCACCTTTCACGGCGAACAAAATGATGGACTTATTAAAAAATGCCTGTGCTCAAGTTTCCACAGAAAATTGGGCAGACGTTGTTCAAAAAACAAAAAATATTATAATTACTGATTGGGAACGACATCTTGCTTTCGACAATTTAGAAGATCAGGAGTTTATTATAAATGTTAGTGAGCGCTCGTCAAGCGATGATGATGATGAAACAAGTTCTGATTATTGACAGTAAAGAATAATAAGCTGTTCGTATTGTTTTCATTAATACCTATATCTCAAACGATTATTTATGATTTTGTTTCTGATTCAAATTCATTCCCACCACTATTTTGCTTCTATAGAATGTAAATGTGTTAAAAACGCTCGTATTTTTTTCGTTTTAATAAAAAAGCCATTGCAATTAAGGACTAAAATTGTATTCAATAAGTTTTAAGTGGAATCATGGAATAAGATTAGTTAGTTGTCGTATTTTTTATACCACGCATTTAAAAGATAAGTTTTTGCATTACGTAGACAATTACGTTCTACGAGAACTGTCATCGAGAAAATAAATGGTTGGAAATACTATAGTAAAATTTTTTATTAGATGTGGCAAGCAAACATTAATACACTTCTGGACACATCTATTGGCCCACCTTGTATTTTCAGTTTCGTTTGGTCCTAGCTAAAATTTTATATTAGGTCGAGCAAAAAGTTTTTATGCAGTTTTGAACCTGGCACATTCACAATTTCATTCAATAGTCTTTTTTTGAATTTCGAATACAGAATTTAAAGAAACAAAAGACAATTTGGAGCCTGTTTGTTGATATCAAACAATCGAATACTAAGAAAACTTAGTTTTATTGGTTTACTTGGATTTAATTCTTGAAAAAGTGATTGATATCTTTGGTTTTGCAACAAACATTACTTATTCTTAACATTAAGGTGAGGTTCTATCAATAATCTATGGATACTTCACCTGAAGTCGCCGCCCAAGCTGTGGCACTTATTCAGGCCGGACACAGCCAAAGAAACGTGAGTGCTCAACTTAATTTAAGTCGATCTGCGGTCCGAAATGTTTATCGGAGGTACCTAGAGACTGGCGGCTTTGTTCGTCGCCAAGGAAGGCCACGATCTCGGGTCACAACTGAAAGGCAGGATCGATTCATCATGACGACCAGCTTGAGAAATCGTCACCTTACCTCCATTGAGATACAAAACCAACTTCGCGACTTCCACGGAGTATCTGTGAGCGCTCGAACTGTTCGGAGAAGGTTAAAAGAACGCGATATGGTACCACACAAGCCAGCTAATGGGCTGCCAACATTAAATGCTGAAAGGTACATTCGTGAGTGCTTAGAACCTCACGTGATACCATACGCGGACTATGTGGGCCCAAATTTCCTTTTTATGCATGATAATGCAAGAGCCCATGCGGCCGGCATCGTCAGGGAATATCTTCGGGATGTGAACATCACAGTTATGGACTGGCCAGCCAGAAGCCCAGATATTAACCCCATTGAGCACATGTGGGACTAGCTAAAAAGACGTGTTAGGCCTCGTCAGCCAGTTGCCCAGACGATGCAGGAGTTGAAAACTGCCATAGAAGAGGAATGGGAGATGATCCCTCAAAATTTCATAGAGCGGTTGATAAACTCTATGCCTAATCGTATGAGAGCTGTGGTAGATGCCCATGGAGGCAACACGCGTTATTAAATTAAACCTTTATTTGATAAAACATGTTTTTTATTCAAAAATCAATTGCCTTTAACAAGGCGCATATCCGATTTGTTAGGCGTAGCTCCATGTCGTATGGTATTCTGAATTCAAATTTAAAACAATACGATCGAAAAAGATGGTAAAATGTATCAGGTTTAAAACTGCATCAACAGTTTTTGTTCAATCTAGCAATCATATTTCGGTAGGGGCCATCGAAACCTAAACTCTAAGGTGGGCCAATAGATGTGTCCAGAAGTGTATGTGTGCCAAATTACACAAACAGATTCTTTGCTAGTTGAAAGCTTCAAGTCATTAAAATAACGAAAGAATGTTTAAGAGAATACCCAAAGATATTTAAGAAATTGATCGCTGTGACATTATTACGTTTTTGCCAAAACCTGTGGAAAAGGAAAACTATGTTGAGTTTTCATATGATATTAATATTAAAGAACTCTAAGTAGTTAAAGTAAACATCAAATGTAAATGATTGATCTCAAGGAAGAGAATCTCTGTTTAACTGGGTATCTGTTTTGATTTATTAGTTACTTTATAAGCCAAATTTTTTAACTTTACTCGTACAAAGAACTGGTTGTTAAATTATAAGCTACATTTTTGAACTTATTACAAGTTGATGATTGTGAAACTATGTTTTCTAAACATTAATACTATTAAAGACTGAGCAATTATGACCACAGAGAGAAACAAACTAGATTATTTTGTAATAAAGTTGGTTAAATAAATAAATATTAGACATCTTTTTATTTTATATACAATTTTAAGTAAGTAATTTAAATAATACAATACATAATAAATATGATTATTTGGTAAAATGCCTGGGGTTGCTTTGACAAACAAAAAATCAAAGTAACCCCAAAAACATAAATAACATATAAATCTTAAATCTACAAACGAATTGAAATTTTGTTTAAATTTCTTGCGATAGTGGGGTTACTTCCGAATTGCGCAAAAAATATCAGAGTAACCCCTATCATAGTTTAACATTGATCGCCACCATTTTATTTCGTGTAAAATACATTTTAATTTTAAAGTTGATCAAATTCACCCCATTCCACGGTAGTGGCATCATATAGGCTGTACATTTGACTTTGATTATCTGTGCTGCTTCATTTTAATAGCTTAAATGAGAGGTAAAAAAGACAGCGAATATAGTTTCTTACTTCTATTTCAGGATAAAAAAGATTTTGGAAGAAATTCTATATAATAGAAAGTGTAAAAGAACGTAGAGAATCTAAATTATCTATATATCCAGTTAGAGAACTATAAGGAAGAACAAACAATTTCTTTCCAGAGAAGTGGTACAAATGCTTCTACTAAATTAATATACTTTTACTTACATCGTCGTAATTAGTCGGTTGATAAATAAGTAGTTCGGATTCAAGAACATTAAAAATCTTTATCGAATTTACGAGGAAGATCGCGTCAGCAAACGAGTGTCGTATGTCTTGAGTAATAAATTCAACAATGATTTAAATCTTGGTTTTATCGTGCTGAAAAAAGATTAATGTGTCAAATGTTTACCATATGAAGGTAAAGAAAAAGCTGATCGAGAAATAAAGTCACTTATAAGGAAAAGAAGATGCAAAGCAGAGATTGGAATGCTATCATGAATTTCATAAGAGGAATCCTGACATATTATTATGCACGTCATTTGATTTGCAAAAGGTCCTTAATACCTGACGCGGTAACAGAAAGCTATTATATTATTATTCCCGAAAGTTTACTGTGTAGAATTCAAGCGTTCATGACAATAGTTCCATAAATGGGTTCTGTAGCATATGGGGAGAGATCGAAGGAAAGAGAGGTGGCTACGAAATAGCCACAATATTAAACCGGGTTTTCACTATACGAGTAGGTTCGGACCGAGTTCACTCCGATGACACTCGGACGGTCCTCCTAGCGTGTAAACACATGATCAGTACCTCTACCATGAGTTGCTATGGTAACGTAAATTACTTAACTATATACGCGCATCGAATAGTTTTCGATATTTGCTATACCATGGTTCCCCAAATGTTATACTTCCTGTAGTAAGCTCGATAGCTTTGACAGTTGGTAAAGTATTCATGCCATCACGTTGGCATTCTTGTAGGAAGATACGAACTTCGTTCCTAATGTAATTATTTATCTCTTTCTTATTAGTTACAAGAGACGGAGAGAGAATCATACGTTCGAAATAACCTCGTATCGTATCAATAAATTAAAATTTTATCAATTAACTCAGATAATATGACTAAATATAAAAGACAACTATAAATTAAAATTTTATCAATTAACTAAGATAATATGACTAAATATAAAAGACAACTGTAAGTGCGTCCACTACCGAATGGAAGTGCATTTTAATTTTACATTGGTTACACTTTGTCATCCATTTTGGTGTTTTTCAGCGTGAAATGCAAGTTTCAAAAGTTGAAAACATCATTAACTGATATCCATCGAATTAATAATAATAATAAGGACTAGCGGAAATCAATTCAAATTGTTGGTGGATTTCATGGAAAGGTAAGTGCGCTTGTTAATGTATTTCACTTTAGAGACAATTTTAGTTATAATTTTCTTCAGCTATTTACAAACTGTGTCTTTGCCTCCAAAGCCTAAGAAAAGGTAGGTATTGAGCCAGAAAGCAACTTAAAAACGGAGATCTTCATTTTATCCCTATAAACTACTTATGGTTGTGAGTCTCTCAAAAGCCATTTTCAGAATACTTTCCAAAACCGGTGTAGTCAATGAAAGAAAATACGGTGTGTTACGTAGTTTCTTCTTTATTTTGGTAATTCACTTTGAATTTTCTCTCTTGTAAATAAGTTTGCTTCTTTACTTACCTAACTTTTAACGAAACTTCAATAACGGCGATTGTTTGTTACATTTGAATATTACTTCGGCTGTGCATTTATTTGTGATTTGGCAAGAATAACTTAGTATCGGCGCAAATGAGTCACCAATCAAAGCTTCCAGCAGTTTGCACGCTGGTGGCGGAGGTTGTGGTCCACCTCGGCGTCGGAAGTTGATCGGGATACAGTCGTGCTGCTTCAAGGCCGTTGCCTCTAGCAACTCCATAAAAATAATGCATTTCTGCATATTCAGTTAACGTGTAGTTTATCTCCAATACTTCGAAGTAAACAAAGTCGAAATCACTATGCAAAACCTGTTTCGCATATTTTATTGGACTTTGGTCCAATAAACGAACAAAGTGGTCAAATAAGTAGGCAGCAGGGTCTAGGGGCAAAGCGAGCGTAGTGGTAGTGATAAAACAACGACACGAGTCTCAGTAAACACAAGGTGAGAACGACTGAAGTGATTCTTGTTTGCGTTGACTCCCGTTGCTCGCTGTTTCCTCTAGCTTACACCGGTTCTAGCCAGAGAGTGAGAGAAACAGCAAATTTTTATTCTAAGTAAAAAGAGATAAAGTACAACCATATATTCGAAAACAGGCCGCAAAAAACGTTTATGGTAAAATTAAATTAAATTTAAAATGTCTAAACCTTAGCTTTCCTACAGTTATTTTTT